AAAAAAAAAAACAAACACCAGGTGTTCGTTTGACTCAAGGAAAGATGTTACCTCCAGGGGAGAGTGGGAATATGAATAGGATGGGGATAGAGTGACACTTCTCCAAGGATTTTTTTTGTATAGTTTTGAATTATACAGCTATTAAATATTTTACTTATTAAAAAATGAAATTAATAATCATGTAAGAAAATTATAACGTTTACTATAAACAAACAAACCAAACTGATTTCAAATGAATCAAAAAAATAAATAAAAAGAACAGAAGGAATAATTGAATATAGTAACTTGACTATATTCACTTAATCTTTTTTTTTCTTCTGAGACCGGGTTTGCTCTGTTGCCTGAGTTACAGTGTGGTGGCATCATGATAGTTCCCTGTAACCTCAAACCCCTGGGCTGAAGCGATCCTTCTGCCTCAGCCTCTCAAGTAGCCAGGCACTACAGGTATGTGCCACCACGCCTGGCTAATTTTTCTATTTTCCGTAGAGATGAGGTCTCATTCTTGCTCAGGTTGTTTTCAAACTCCTGGCCGAAAGCAGTCCTCCCACCCAAGCTTCCCCAAATGCTAGGATTACAGAGGTGAGCCACCAGGCCTGGCCTCCCTTCAATCTTAAGACAAAATAATTGTAAACAAACCTTGGAACTCTACTTCAATGGTTGGCCTACTTAAAAGGTTAGTCAATGTTAATATCACCATAATGAGACAAAACGCCATGTGCCTCTTGATGTGATGCGCTGAGGATATGATATTATATTTTTTATAGTGCCTCAAATCAAATTAAGCTGAATCAAATGAGGAAACAGCAGACAGGTCCATAGTGATGGAAAATTTTTTAAAAACTGGATTGTAGGTACTCTTAAAAAATGATCATTCATGAAAGGCACAGAAAAAGTGAGGACTTCTTCCAGATTAAAGAAATCTACACAGACCAGGTGTGTTGGTGGCTCATGCCTGAATCCCAGTACTTTGGGAGACCAAGGTGGGAGGATCACCTGTGGACAGGAGGTCTAGACCAGCCTTGGCAACATAGCAAGACCCTGTCTCAAAACAACGACAACAACAACAAAAACCAACAAAAAACCAATGTCGAAACATTACGTGACAACTAAATACAGTGTGTGATCCTGGATTAGATCCTAAACTGGAAAAGAAATTGCTATAATAAACTTCTCTTGGACAACTAGTAAAATTTTGAGTGTGGACTGTAGATTACATAATAATGTTATAGCACTGTCAAATGTCCTGGTTTTTATATTTGTAGTATGGTTATATAAAATAATATAACACTTCATGTATTTCTTGTTTTTAAGAAATACATGAAGCGTTTAGAGGCAAATAAGCATGATGTCTCCCAATTATTCCCAGATGATTGGATACACATGCACACACACAGCATGCACAAAATATTAACAACTGTGGAATGTGGGTGAAGGATAGAGGAGTTCTTCATATTGTTCCTGTAACTTTTCTGTGATTTAAATAATTTTTTTTTTTTTAAAAACTGCTTCTGTCTCCTTCTTGACACTTAAAATTAGTTCCCTTCTCATTCTCATTCTGGGGTCCTTATTAGGCAACAGTTTATATAATCTTGAACTTTACCGATGAAGTGATGTGGGGGAGGCAGATATTAGTATCACTTACAAAGGGAATGGGGTAACTGGGGCACCAACTCTTGAAACAGCTGAAGAGAAAATGCTGCTGTTCTGTCTGGTGTAGCATCTCTACCCATTAAAGGTGAGAGATTTGAGGTTTGCCCTCACCTTGTCCCACAGGGAAAGGGAAGCATTTTAGTCACAGATCTGTTATCATCATTATTTAATCTTAATTTGGTCATTGGTAAGTGAGAGCAGAAGGAGAATCCCAACAGATATCAAGAGGAATATGTGTCCATATTGTATACCAACCTCCCCTTATTAAGCTTTTTCTTAACTTATTTTTTATTTTATTTTTGTAGAGACAGGATCTCATGCTATTTTGCCCACGCTGGAGGTCAGTGGCTATTCACAGGTGCAATAATAGTGCACTGCAGCCTTTCAAACTCCTGGCCGAGTTTGAACTGGCCGAGTTTGAACTGGCCTGCAGCCTTGAAGTCTTGGTTTCAAGGGATCCGCTGCCTCAGGCTCCTGAGTAGCTGGGACTACAGGTGTGTATCACCATGCCAAGGCTTTCAGCCCCTGTTTCTTAAAAGGTCAGGCCACACCAACGTGTGTAGGACCCCTAATATAGATGGATCTAACAAGCTAATCTGAAACCATTTTCTTATTTAAAAGCTCTGCATCTGGACCAGTGTGGTTAAATTTCTTTAATATTAGAATAGTGCTTTAATATTAGAATAGTACAATACAGAGAAGCAGCCAAGTCCCCATATCCTTTGTAGTATTTACAGTAAACAACTGGATGTTCCAATCCAGAGGTTTAGGTACAGACTTCACAACTACAGAGCTGGCATCAGCATCATCCTCAAAGGACATTCACCAAAAGAGCAAAGCAGAAGCCAGAAATATCAATAAAATGCTTCAGCCAATAACTATACAGAAAACAAAGATTCCCTGACAAGCCATCAAATTCACAGCCAAGGAGAAACATGTTACAATGTTAGCAACATAACCGGCACCCAACAGGTAACCCGTCAAAACTGTACATAGTTAACCATGGACAGAACTTGGGAGACTGGGGGCACAGAAGACCTAAGATCTAAAGTCAGCCCCTGCTAGGTCCCTGTAGTTTACAACTGGGTTGGTTCATTCTGAGGACCCCACTAGGGGGTCTTTCTACAAAAGTCAAATTGTCCCTAGTAGTTTCAGGTATTTTTTGTTTATGTCAAGGGACTTGGATAGTCTGCAAAGCTGGTTGCTTTCTAAAGCCAATTATAAATAGGGCATTGGCCTCTTAATTTTACAAAGATGTACAAAAAAGGCTAAGTCCAAAGCAATTGTGGATTGTGCAAAGTGTGCCCTCAGCAGCACACCCTTCCCATTTTGTGTACTTTTGTTTGAATTGGTTTCTCTCTTCTGTGAACAGTAAACACCCCCTTAAGGTGCAATTCTTGTGGATGAATTTTCATTTTTGTCAGAATTGAAATTTAAATGAAAAGAATCAACTGTTTATCTGTAGCTGCTGGAGCAGGTTTGCTCATGAAGTTACACTCTGCAGGCATTGCATAGGCCTGAGAGCCTCTATCCTGGAGCAATTAATATTAATTAACTGAGCCAATTAATTAATATTCTCCACCAAATTCTTGGCAGGTGTCAACCTGCCCTTCACAAAGCCTTAGCAGCTACACTGTTTCTAAGATGTTTCATCTCAATGTCAAATCTATAGGGCTGGAGGAAAGTCCTGGGTGGACCAGCCCTGTCCTGTTGTCCTGCCTGGGATTCTGCTATCCCAAAGTCTCCCTGGGACTTCATGTAAGATCTGGGTGTTCTTATCAGCAGGTAGGTTGGAAGTCTCTTATACTCAGATACATACCTAACCTCTAGGACAATTAAACCAACTCTTTTTCCATACTCTTAGCAAATGAGATTGAAAAAGCCTACATTAAGTGAAATGAAGTCTAGTAATTTTTTTATTTTTTGAGACAGACTGTCCTCAGTTAACCTGGGTAGAGTGTAATGGCGTCATCATAGCTCACTGCAGCTTCAAACTCCTGGGCTCAAGCAATCCTGCTGCAGCCTCCCAAGTAGCAGGGACTACAGGATCGTACCATCAAGCCCAGCTAATTTTTCTATTTTTAGTAGAATTGGGAATCTCACCCTTGCTCAGGTTGATATTGAACTCCTGAGCTCAAATAATCCTTCCACCTCAGCTTCCAGAATGCTAGGGTTACAGGTATAAACCACCTCACCCAGCCAGGTCTGGTGATTTTTAAACACATCTAGAAATGTATGTAATCAGCAGTTTAAATAACAAGCAGTTTGATAGGACTGCTCCATTTTTATTTATTTATGAATTTTTTGAGACAGAGCCTCAAGCTTTTGCCCTGGGTACCTC